AACACATTGAGACGAGAGACAGAGTTAACACATTTGAGACAGAGACAGAGGAAACACATTTAAGACAAGAGACAGAGGTAACACATTGAGACGAGAGACAGAGTTAACACATTTGAGACAGAGACAGAGGAAACACATTTAAGACAAGAGACAGAGGTAACACATTGAGACGAGAGACAGAGTTAACACATTTGAGACAGAGACAGAGGAAACACATTTAAGACAAGAGACAGAGGTAACACATTGAGACGAGAGACAGAGGTAACACATTTGAGACAGAGACAGAGGAAACACATTTAAGACAAGAGACAGAGGTAACACATTTGAGACAAGAGACAGAGGGAACGCATTTAAGACAAGAGACAGAGGCAACACATTTACGTCCTTTCACTCCGAGCAAGACCGCCAGCCGCATTCAAACCGAAGATGAATCATACTATACAAAGCGGAATACCCGTGTGCGCTTTTGCATACATCGAATACGGTCAAGCATGAATGAGTGAAGTTTCCTCGCGATATTCAGATTAAAAGTTAAAGATAGAATCTTCGAGAAAGTAGGAAGGGGCATACCGACGATATCATCCTCGCTGCTTCCACTGTTTATGCTGGTCACATCCGTTCTAATGAGCGCCAGTTGTCTCTGTAACAATAACCACCGCACGACATTCAACCTCTAAATCACCTTCAATGCGATGACGCCTCACGACTACGTATACTTGTTATCGTCGCCACGCCGATCTCAGATGCGGATTCGCATCGATCTCAAAAACGTCGAATTTGAAAACCGAAATCACGAAAATCCGCAACAGATGCTTGCCATCGCTAATCGGGAAAAGCTCGATCTGAATCCGGGGCCCGTCGTCGGAAGCAAAACAGTCTTAAAATCAGTCCTAACATTAACTTTTCCTCACAGACTGTCGACAGAAACATAATAAAGCAACGAGTTTCTCAAATGCAGCATATATAGGTCCGTTTCACCCTCAAAAAATCGACGTTAAGATGAACTAACATTGAGACTAATTTCGTTTCTGACAATGGATAATCAGAATTAGCGGCGGCGGTTTTCCGCGCGCGTGCGTCGACCCGTCCGAATTCGCGAGGCTGCGAGACGACGGAGGAGGGAATCGACTGACCTTCAGCTGCTCAATCTCAAGGTCCTTGCTGTCGGACTCCATCTGCTGCTTGGTGCGCATCTGGCCCTCCTCGTACAGGCTCACCTCAACGTCCTGGATCTGCTTGCGGAAGCTCATCACCGTGTTACTGAACTTCTCCTTCTCCTGCAACGCGAGGGAGAACGATGCGTGAGACAAACGCAAATGAGGAGGTGAAGAGAAATAGATGGAGAGAAGAATGGAGGGAGGGAGGGAGGGAGGAAGGGAGGGAGAGAGACAGAGAGAGAGAGAGAGAGAGAGAGAGAGAGA